ATTTGAGTAACTATGCTCTTGTAAAATGAGCTGCGTCATGACAAAACCAAACTGGTAGCGAACAGCATGGATCCTGACCAGACTGTGCAGATGAGCATGCTGGTCTGGATCCATGCTGGTCGCATACGCACTTTGTTGGTTTTGTCATGATGCGGCTCAAATATATTTCTTATGGACAGAAATTCAAGAGCATTGGGGGAGATCTGTGACCAAGCAGTTATTGTTCACTTAAATCAGAATTGAATGATAATAATGATCATACGGAACAGAAAATATGATGCCTCCCTTGTGGATACGACTCAAGCTGTATATGTGTCGACCACAATTACACTTAATGACCATTTAGCCACTTTGTTTCTGGATGTGACAACTCGCCAACATTCGAAATAGCGGCTTGATTTTGTGACGAACATGGCAGGAAAGTGAAAAAGTCGAGGGAAGGAAAATTGAAGGGGAAGGAAAAAAACGTGGGACATTGATTTTCAATTTTTACGTGCAGCGGCACACTCTGTCCATTAACAGTCTTTACTACCTCCCATTGATTCGCCTTTAATTTGATTCATCGGGAATTTATGGTCATGCGGTTTTATTCGAGCTGCGTGATTTTTTATTATATGATTTTTTTAGGGGGGTTGCCATTTTATGAAGTCTCGTTCATTCTGCTTTGGTTTAGAATTCGCTTCAATCCGTAGGAAAGTTTTTTTTGTTTTCGTTAAGCAATGTTTCAATATGCTTCAGATTGGATTTTTTTTAAATTATAGTGTGTGTTAAATTAAACCAATTTTAAACAATTAAAAGTAGGGTTTAATGTTTATTTTACAATGTGAAGAAATAATTTTAGTCTCTAATGATTTATGAACATCTTTATGTGGTATGAAAATTATAAATTAATTGCATTGGCATTTACACACAAAAAAACCTTTTGACTTTTAAGGACAATTTCTTCTTTTCCTTTTGTAGAAAGCCATTAAGTTCTTTTTTCCCTATGGCATACTATAAATAGATAAACTATGATTTATATTGTCTAATATTTAATGCACTTCTGTTTTCTTAATATGTGTATTGACAATATTATATTCGATCTATATATTTAAAAAACAATTGGTTCTATTTTTGTAAAAAAATGATGACAATTTTTAGTAAACACCTTAATGTAATTCAACACTAAATTTCCACCTTCTGGCAAATTAATGTTCAATATGTTGTTTTATTTTTAACCTACGTATAAATGACACCCAGTACAGTAAACTGCATCATAAGATTTCTGCCAATATAACAATACAGGAAAAAAAAATGTCACATATGGAAAGACATAGAATTTGTTGTCAACCTTGTATATTGAATATCGGTCTTTTCTTGAGCTTGGCATTTATTCATTTTGGTGTAAATCGCGTATTAAGCTGTTTCACCGTCAGATGAGATATTGGTGTTTCTCGGTGATTTGGATAAGCCAATTATGGTAACACGTTTCTATTCAGATTAATATATTGCTTTTTCTTGTAACTGGTATATCTTGTTGTGATTTTCCGATTTCAATTTCTGCCGTTTTTTATTTTCATTGCGTAATAGTTTTTACATGGCTGGGTTATACAAGTCAATTTGTGTATGTAAAGTCTTATGTAAGTATATAAGTATATATTGAACAAGAATCAGGTTAGCTTGTTATTTTGATGTTACGTACTTGATTGTCACGTATTTCAGATAGTCAATGATATTTAAATATGACCACATTAGTTTAATCAGAAGCACTGAAGATTTCTATATTTTGTGCATGATTGTTTTACTTAATTAGAAATCGGGTTGAAGAATGTTTGGAAAGAGATGGCATATTTATGTAAATTTATTATAGTGTTAGTAAAGTGATATAGATATGCTCTTTAATTGTTTAGTTTTTTTGTACTTTAACTTTTTATAATAACTCACATTAACTGATGTACATTTTACAATTCTGTATTAAATGGTGTTTTCTTAACCATATATTTAGCAAGGACAAATCATGAAGAATAAGTAATAATTTTTTCTCTTCCGATGAAATTATTTCTATTTGGAGATATGAATTTCCATGGAGCTGAGGAATTTACTGGCAGGGGAACCAATCAACTGGTTTCATTTATTATAATAATAAAAAAATATTTACACTGACAAATACTGAATATCTTAAATGAACAGGTCCACCTTATAATCTGGACAAAACCATTCATCATTGTAAGGGAAAATTTTAAAATAAGTACAGACTGGAGGGTGAATAGTGCAGGCCATGGTCAAACCGCACGGACAAGCTGACCAACTGATCTAGGTCTGTGCCGGTCCGATGGAAAAATTCTTTTGCTGTAGGCTTTAACTATTTTCGAGGAGCTTTAGAACAAAACAAAAAAACTGACTGTTTCAGTATTGTTTGTTATTTATTAGAATTTGAAAGTACAAATGTAGTTCTCAAATAATCATATCAGCATATATAACTATTATTATAAGTTAAAATAAATGTAGCATTTTTTAAGGAAAAAGCCTATGCAGTGTACTATATATTTCTTGTAACAATGTCAAACGCACATGTTTTTATAAATGGATACATACCAATTGTAACTGACTTGTGAACATGATGTGGCATTTAAATTACGTTACCACAGATTAATTTATGTGCATACATGATTATACATTTCAAGACTGGGTATTATTTGCATTCAAATTGTTTACCATTTTACGAAAACTGCTGTATAGTTTCTGAAGATGTAAAAAAAACATCTCTAAACAAAGGATATGTTTATATCGAAGTGTTTGTTTTAAGTATGTGACTTTTTTTCTCCAGTGTCATGTATGTGACAGCCTGATGGGCGTCTGCAATAATGTGTTATCTTGAGAATCGGTGTATTATCGGATTATAGGGTTTTATCTTGAAGTTGATGTTGCTGACATAATAAATCGGGTCCATTCTTGTGACATCTGGCTAAGATGTATGTATACATTAGCCTGTAGTATATTCTAGCATAGACAAGAATTAACTATTGAATTTGTATTCTGTTACATCAATAGTGAATACATAGGATGTTATAACATCGCAGAAATTTTCTTGGATGATATTGCGTTTTTATTTTTAATTTTTCGGTTTTTAGTATGTGACACAGGTGTCAAGTGAAAAGGTGAGAGAGAGAGAGTGAAAGAAATGATTGAGGGGGTGTGGGGGTGTTACAGTGTAGTGTAAAGTAGTACCCATAAAGTAGTTTTGGTTCATTTGAGGTCATTTGATGATATTATGTCATAAAATCTATTGTAAAGCAGCATGGATTGATTGCTATTACCCAAGACTAGTAGAAGTACATCAATTGATGTCACATGATTTTGATGAGTTTTATTTTGTTTGTTTTTTCATAAAAAAGAAACATATTATGTTATTTAAGGATGGTTTCATTAAAGGATGTTTCTGATTAAATTAATAAATTATTTCACCTTGAACTTATATTTAATCTTAAACTAATATTTAAAGAAAAAATAGAATGTTGCACAAGGGTATGGTCAAAAGAAGTGGGAAAGAAAATCATAAAACATTCATGGTAAATATGACATTGAAATGGTACAATTCATTATTTAATTTACCAATAAAAAAAATCGTCCAAGATTTTGACGTTTAAAATTACAATAATTATGCGATATAAAAGCATCTGTTTTATTTAAAGAAAAATGTTGTAAAATTATGAAATCAATTATGATGCATAAAACTAAAAAAGCAACCTTGGAAAGTTAATTAATGATTGTGTAAAAAAAATAAAGCATGAAAATTAATCATTGTAAACAATAAATTTCTGAGAGTATTTTCAGAATTTTTTTATAAAAGCATTGGCGAGTGGTTTTGTAATAAAAGATAATAAAAGGCAGGTTAAAATTTGTTAATTACACTGCCTATTTGTGACACCTTGTTGGATTAAAGTACACGACTCTACACGACTAATATACGAGCGTTGGAGAAAGTTTAAACATGGATAGTTAATTTAGAAAGGAAGTCTAGTGGAGGGATATCACATGTCATGGCCAAGTTTTTTTTGTTGACTTGCCCATTAAAGCATGTTAAATAATATTGATGATTGTGAGCTAATGAAGTTAACTAGAATTTATCGGTCTTTCCGCACTAATAATGATTCTTGGGAGGAAAAAAAATCGGCAAGCTTGTTAATGCCAGCTTTAGGAATTATTGAGGAGCAGTAGAAAATTACGAGCTTTATTATGATATTTGTTTAATTTACGTCTGAGTCTTGTGAGAATTTGAAATGTCTTTTCGTATTTGTTAAGGACGAAATTGCTTATGTTCGTGTGGTTCTACTCAAGGGGTTGCTGGCGCCTGAATAAAGGCATGTATGGGCAACTTTGGTCTTCCTTCACCATGAGAGCTAGGAAGTGGAACATTGTCAGGGTGACAAAAAGACATTTTGATATATAAGATAAGATAATTTAAAGTGAGGTTGACAGTCTTTAAGTTACAAACATAAATGTAGGTTTAAATCACCCTGATTAACCATCTTTATAAATACCAAGAGTTTTATCAGAAAATATTTCAATCCTTATAAAATAAGTATGTTTTAGTTACTGAAACTTATTTGTATAAAGTCTAAATGAAAATCAGTTAATTGACTTTTGAATAATTGTTTCCCAGAAGTGAAACTGCTTAATTTGGTATCCCCAGTATTTTATTTCTTTATGTATGTTTGTTGCAGATTTTCAAGAAGCAATCTTCCCATGCAGAAAAAAAACATAGGGAATTCAAGGTTTTAGTAACAAAGTTAAATTAAGATCACAGAAGTTGTTATTTAGCGTACTGGCTTAGTTTTTGTCATTCCCGCCATAAATGCACTTTGCGTCTGCTGTTATAATATTCCTTATGGATTTAGAGGAAAGGCTGGGTTCATTTCAAATGTTACACATTTTTGATATTTAGAAATATTTTCCTGGAATAACTCCTTTCATTTCAAATGTTATATATTTTCAATGGATTTCTTCTCTTATATTTTCAGATTGATATAAAAACCACGTAAAGACATTAGAACTGCCACCATAGCTGTAGCGATAGCCGCTACCCCCACATTATTCAGGTTGTGTTCAGATTGACATGGCAACAGAGAAAACCATGGTTCAAGGAAGTGAAAGTAACGGCATTGCCCCCTCCATCCTTACAGTACGCATGATTATGCAGGGAAAGGTAAGATTTGACTTCCTTTCGTAGAGAAATGATCTTGGTATTACTGGAATATAATTATATGTTCATATAAGTAAAAAGACACCATCACTAAAATTTAATAGCTGGTAAATATTTCTATGTGACTTATCGACAAAAAGAAACAACACATAAAAACAACAACAACAAAATCCTACATTACCGCAAGTAATTGCTGGACATGCCTCTTAATTTATAAATTGTGACAAAAGACAGTCTTTGCATTTTAAGGCAGTTGGATTGGTGATGAAAGGGCTACTGAAAAGCCAAGAACCAAGTTATGCAATTTATTCAGATAGCAGATTCTTTGTGAAAATGTCATAAATGATATAATTATGATCTATGTCTGAAAAATACCATGCAAAAATCATTGTCGAAAAAATGTATCAAAATGTCCGACTTACTACTCAAAAACATGGATGAAATAAAAAAAGTGTCATTTACAGATGCTCATAAATATAAGTATTAAATATTCATGATTTACAAAGCATTTTCTCACATTATGATGTCACTATTCTTTTAAAAAAAGTTTTTTCTCACAAATAATCTGGTAAATTCTGTGTTGGATTCTATGCGAAAAACAATTTTTTATAGTGATACATAGTTACGTAAGATTATACAGTACAAAAATGTGAAATTTTCCATTTTGATCTTGAAGTTGAAGAAAATATTATTATAAAATAAAGTATAAATTTGTTGATGAAATTTGAAATCTTGCATATCACTTCATTAGTGAACCTGACTTTTTATGTTTTAAATCTTTTGTTTTTTTTTTAAAAAATATATATATATATTTCGGAAGCATTAAGAATAACATCTGTATCTTTATAGTATATACTTTGGCAGCAATTTTGAGAATTCTCCGTGAGAGACTGCCTAAATTGATCTTCATGTATATCTTCATAAAGCTTATAATAAACAAAATTTTCAAGATTTTTTAAAAAATATTGTCAAACCTTCAAGCATGTATATTAAATTATTTTATAAATAATAAATTATATTAATATCCCAGTGGTAAGAAATAGGCAAGGGAAACAATCTATAAAGAACATGAGAATTGAAGAGAAAAAGAAACTTAATCTGATAAACCTAAAAGGAAATGAGATTGTAACTTGCCACTTATAGTTTGTGACGAGATTTCCCCCAATTAGGGCTAAACTTTTATAAAACTTGGATTAGAGGGCCGCAAATCAGCTTACGATTGGCTACAACTCGCTGGAGCCTATTACAGCTCTTCTAATTACATGTTCGGTCCCGCTTTATGTCGGAAACGGTTTTTAAGAAGAAAGTAAAGATAAATAGGATTGTGGCCAGTCTCTTAAAAGAAAAACAACATGTATTTATGATAATATATTTTGAAGGCAAAGATATTGACCTGTTTGACCTTTCTTTTGCAGTTATATTAAACTATTATATATGATTATACTATTATATATATTTCAATCATCAAGATGATGTTATTAAACTTTTGCCTTGTTGAATTTCCGTATATTTTTGTCAATGTATCTGTGTGACAATATGAAACCGTAACATAAACATTATATAAATAGATCATTAGAATGATGGGTCAAGTCATTTATATATATATAAGTCACCACCTTCAAGTTATGTTATATTTCATTTTTTAAACAAATACAGTCAATAAGCATGAAATGGATTTACCACAAAGTGTTACAATTTTTTTTTTATCAAAAGGCGACACAATTGACATTATTTATTTATAGATTTACAAGAGAAGAAAAAAATCCTATATTTGTGGATTAAGTAACAAGATAAATCCTTAAGGAGTTAAGAAAATTCAACATTACGGCCAAATCCCATAATCTCTTCGGTAAATATATGCAAAAGGCTTTCTTCATGGTCAGAAGTAGGCATGAAATTATTTTTTTGACCAGTTCAGAATAATATAGCGTCCTGTTTCAAGCTTGTCCATTATTTATTTATACAATATACCTAAATAGGTTTGAATCAATTAACTATGGTAACGAAGGATTAATATGTAAATTGAGAAATTGAGAAAAGGTCATGGGGATGATTTTTTTATCGAACCCTTATCTTGCCAAATATCTTAAAACGAATTTGTCGATGATCTTTCAGTATGGAAATATTCATCATTTTTAGGGAAAATATGTACTGACTAAAAAATAGAGAACAGTGCAAACCATGACCAGACTACACAGATGTGCTGGCTGCTGTTTTTTTGCAAAGAAATAATTTGTTAAACAATAATATTATTATAACCAAGTTCTAGAAGGGTTATTCTTGAAAAATGTTTCTTGAAAATTACTTCTATTTTCTTTGGAAAAATATTTTATTAAAATTAGTCATGTATAGATTTTGAAAGTAGTAATATTTTTTCGTTTTTAGTTTGAAATTTTCTTTTCTAAGAAAAAATAAAATTATTGTTCATAAGAGAAGTAAAAAGGTCAAAGTGTTGCTGAATTTTATGAATTGGTGCAAGTTGTTGTTTTTCCAAATGCGTCAAGCTGTTACTTTACAGCATACAATGTTTTTTTCATTGTGACAAAATAATAACCACAGTGTTTTTCCATGTATGCATTAATTTCATTCAGGAAAATCATACATGTATAAAAGTGCACAGGTACTAATTCTTTTTATGAATAAAAATCAATATCTTTTCTCATAGTGTCAGATATATAGGAGGTCATCTTTCTAACGAATGCTCTGAAATAATGTAGCGAAGCTTGGATGTCGTATTAATGCGTATTCCTCGTGGAAAATTATGTAGAAATCATTGCTATATATCAACTGTTTACCGATTTATTGATTGTTATTGAGGCTTTATGTTGATTATCACAGATTTAATACAACAAAATACAATTTAACCGTCATGACTCGCGTAATAATTCTTGCAGTAATTCCGATGCTCAGTCTGTCTTTGACGGTGGATTATTTTATCGTTCCCGACCGCAGAGTAATGAAGTTTTATGATCGATAACATGTAGACAATCATTGAAGGCCTGATGTCCTTTAATTACTGAAGATTGCTACTTGGGTAATTGTTTATTGTGCGAGCAGCTCGCTTAAATTTTCTGGGGGGAAAATCACGAAAATAATAATCAACCCTAAAATTGTGAGCACTAATATTCTATAGAGAATAACATATTTTTTTTTCCTATTGGCTTCTGTCTAGTTGGGCTATTTGTAATAAATTTAAGCTGAGAGAAATTCAAAATTGGTCGTGACAGTTATTTCATTCTTTTTCACAGATTTCAACAAAAATATAACCATTCACTAAGATTTATAAGAAAAGAAATTTAATTGAAATTTTTTTAAGTTAATTTGTAATTTACTTTTTTCTTGAAAAAAAATTCTTATAAGCCACCGAAGCTGGCAATGTATAGGTTTGTATAAACACAAAAGTGCTTTGACGACTATACCTTATTCTAAAGCATGTCATGGCACGTCAAATTCCCGAGAGTTACACACGACAGTAACTTTTCAGCATCAATTAGAAAAGCGGATTTTGTAAATCTATTTGAGATTACGGAAAATCTATTTGATTGACTGAGAAGGCTATATGATGTCATCTGTTGTGATTTTGTGCGATTTTCCTTCTGATGATAAATGTAATTACGGAATTTTCTCATGAGGAAGCTTGCAGTTTTTCCTACGAAGCTTTCAAGGAACTCAGATTTACCGATCACAAATCAATATGTTCATGTCACGTTTTTTTTTCTCATTTTTTTATGAAATAAAAAATCGTACATGGTAAAACAATTATTGTTTTGTTTTTTTTTCTTCGGGATTACGTTAACAATTACACCTTATTTGAAGTATAAATTGTAATAATAATGTGACAGGGAGGAAGGAAAACATAATCGACAATCTTGTACAAAAATATAATCCCTGTAATACAAACGAATATTAAATAATAAGAAAATAAGGAGTTCTAGATTTTTGCATTATCCATACAACTGTGATGTCAGTACTCGTATTTCTCTGTTGACAACATAATATCATCAGTTTTATTTTCTAGATGATCATGTTAAAAGTAATGTAGCTATTATGGTTGAAGAGCATCTTGTAATGTTAATTGTCGTGGCGGTAATATTAATCCAAAATCGCATTAATTTGTAGCGTATGATGGGGGGAAAATTCAATTTTCTCAAACAATGGTCAGTATAATGAAAACGAGATAGGGTACAAATTTGATCAGTCATATGAATGACATAGTAATTATTATCCCTTGTAAACAATCATGTCTTTCTGGCCGTCCGGTAAACCCATACTTTACATTGTAATAAGGCGAAAGTCTTAAAGCAACAAATATCTTGATAAAAAAACAAAACAAGCCTTATATCGAAAACCATCAAGTTCGTCTAGCTTCTTCTATTAAACATTGCTTCCTTTAAGGCATGCTTACTGGATCTCTCTATTCGTGAATAGCTCGCAGTTTTCGTATTTCTTGTAGAAACTCATTCCGTTTTTCCTCGGGTCAGATGCATTCATTTTCTTCCCAATTAGTGTTTTAAAGTTGGTACGATGCTGGCATTGTCATCCCTCCTGACCACTCCAACACTCAATATCACTTGATTACAGAGAGACATGTTCTTTCTTGGTACACTTTCCGTATTTTGTGTAAATGACCGCAGTACGAAACTGATACGTCAAAAACACAAATCAATCTTAAACGGGGAAATTCTCTTTCACTAATTCGTCATGAACGTCAATATGTTTAAGAGTGCAACATATATAATTATGTAAGTTTTCCACGGCATAAGTACTATAAAGGTGAAAAAAATTTAAGAAAATTACTTTTGTTTTACGTCTTATTTGTGTTTAATTTAACAAGTGAATATAACTATTACAAATACGAATATTAAAAATTTACATTTCTTGATAAAATATATGAAATTATAAAACTGCTGTTTTATGTTTGGTAAAGCATTAAAACAATTTTTGTTTAATTTCATCATACCTTTATTGTTATTTTTATTCTTTTGTCATAATTGTTTTGTTTTTTTAATTGAAAACATTGTTCAGCGTTAAAACAAGTGCCGAATCTTCATCAGGGTTAACAGGAAGTCTGAAATCAATTTTCTTTTTTTCAAATTTCCTAAGGGGAATTACGGAACTTATTCCTTTTCCTTATTTCAGTTTTTATTACAATGGAAAATATTGCAAAAGACTCAAGGGCTGTTTCGATCAGATTTAGGTAAAGGGAATATTTTCTTGATTGGGTATTAGCGATGCAATAACGAGGGGCAATGACAAATCTCGAGCTGGGATTTCAGGGAGATAGTTTGCGAGGACATGCTATGAGAATATTGGTTAATTCCTGCAGAGCACAGTTAAAATCCGAGTATTAACGGACTCGTACAGAATTGCTCATTAATTATTCAAAATACTAAACTGTTTTTCTAGGCGCTGTTAATTACCTTAAGAATTAAGACTTTTCACGTTGATAAAACTAATGTTATTTGCAAACAGATATTTATTTTAACGAAACTAGCAAGATCTTTACGTGGTAGTCCAAGATGTTGCAAATTATTCGTTCTTATAATGAAAGACGAAATAGTAGTTCATGTAAGCTTATTCTAAGAGAAGGTAACGCAAAAATTCATGATATTTTTTTTTGATATGCCATTTTCTGCACCATAACAAATGAATACAGTGAATAAAAAGACTCTGTGCGTAATAGTAATTTTCTGCACATGCAAAAATGCTTTGTTAATTATTAAGTCATAAAGAGAGTTAACAGATTCAGATTGTATGTAATAAAGGAATCTCACTAACTAAAATCTATCTTGACATAATAATGACAGGCATGTGTAAACACCAAGGTATTGCGTTGATAATTTCATCTAAGCATTTCCATTTATTTTTTTTCCAAATTATTTTACACTATTGAATTATTTTCACATTTACCTTAACTTACATACCCACAGTCATAATTGCACATCAATTAATTAAAAGAGTAAAAAAAAAAATTATACTTTTAACCTGCAGAATGTTTAAAATGGACTTGTCCAGCTTCAGTAATTGGAACTGTCCATTATTAGTTTTGAGGATATCAGAATGAAATTTTAAAGTTGATCGTCCAAAAATAAAAGGCCTTGTCAATCAGGCTGGCTTGGTAGCTTTATAAGGGTGGAAGGGGCTTATAAGTAAAAACTTTCAGTACAAACAAGTTAAAGGTAAATAAATGTAAATGCGCAATTTCTTTTTTTGCAAAAAAGAAAATAAATAATAAAATTACAGCTGTCATGTATATAGATGATAAAAAACAATTATCCAATGAAAATTGACGTTACAAACATGCAGTATAATGATATTGATGATTATGCACTATGGGATATTTCTATACTATATAATTGGAATAATATCTACAGTAATGTATTCATAAAGATGATTGAAAAGTAATAAACTTTCTGTGCAAAAAAGAATTACTTCCATAGACTTTGTTAATACGTTAATATTAGATATAGGAATTAAAGAAATAGTTTCAAGTCACTATAGATTAGATGCTATTTGGGAAAAGAAATGAACAAGAAAGAATAGAAAATCCTCATAGTATTAGGTACCTTAATTAGGTAGAGGAAATAATTCGTTTTCTGGATTGCAAACAGCTTGTTTTCATTTCAAAGGTAGATTTTATTCCATGCCAGTGTTAGTCCTCTTTATTCTTCTTTATTCTCGCTTTATTCTTCTTTATTCTTGGCTTTATTCACCGCTTTGTTCCTGTTGTTTTTACATTCCAACAGAACAAATCTCGTTTCTACTCTGTTCTTTGTAAGATGAAATAATCATGAAATAGTGTGATTGAAATAAACAGAAAACATGCCTATGAATAAATGAAACAAATTTGTCAGAAGGTGTTATGCATCTTTAATAGGAAGGTAATAACTCTTCAATCAGTGAGGTAGTTAAAGCCCTATATGAACTACTCTTCAGTTAGAAGGTAGTTTATGTTGTCATTTCCTATTGTTCTTAGTGCGGCTGTAAAACAAAATGAGCAACATTTAGTAATTTTGTCTAATCTTTTATTTATTTTCATTGTGAAATAAAAGCAGATGTAAAAGGTTTATGGCCCAATGTAAAGTTGTTTATTGAACAATATAGATAAAACCCAAAGTCTTTTTTGTGACACGAAAGCTCTAGGAGAAGCAATGTTATTTTGATCTTTTTGTTTCTTAACTTTAGTGTTGTTGTTGCAAAGATCTTCGGCAAAGTGGCTTATAATGAAAAATACATGTAACACAATAGTAACAAAAATTTTAAAGGTTGAATGAGACAATTAAATATGAAAGTAATTTGTAGAAATATCCAAGAATTTATGACAGCATTAAAGTTCGAAAGACTTACACCTCGAGTTCAAGATACAAAGTGCTGTAAATGCTGTCCTTTTTGCCATTAAAGAAAAAACATGAAATTTTCAGTATTTAAAAAGCACCAATTAATAATTTGGGTATGATAATAGTTTTAGAAAAACCCAATGAAATGTGTTTTTTTTTGTTTTTTTTTAAAAAACACACACAGATATCGCATATCACATACATGGGCAACAAACAACCTAAAAAAAAAAACTTAAATTGAATTGATTTCTTCCATAGTAAAATATTGAAAAAATATTTCTTTACAACGCTTCTTTTCTTGTATCTTTCAGGAAGTGGGAAGTATTATTGGAAAGGTAAGTCGCATACTTATTTTATTTCATTCCTTTTAAATGGAAGGAAAGTCTATCAAATCTCATTTTGCCATTGGTGTGCTCAGACAATAGCTTAATTCATTTTAAATTTCCGTCATTGGCTTATGTGACACCTTCTGTTAGCAGACTTTGATTTAGTGAGAAAACGCCAGACGCATACTTTAAGATTTTTTTAGAATGATTTTTAAAAAAGAAAAGAACAACTCCCTTAAGACAAACCAAGCTGAGGTTTAGCTTTGACGTAAAACTTAGGGGGTGTAGGGGGGGGGGGTATTTGTCATTCAGACTGTCTGGTGTTGAAAACCCAGGGGTACAATTAACGAATAATTATATTGAAAAGTGGTTTGATATGATTAGTTTAAAGCAGAATTAAACTAAATTTACAGCCATGAGACGAAGCTCTGTTTATGTTCAGGGAAACGATTTTGTTTTTCGGACAAAAGCGGAAATTACATGACAAGTTTTTGCGTTTTATGATTTTGGGTTTTTTTCCAACCTCAAGGAGAAGTCTTTGCAAAAGTCATGTTGCACTCAAATTATCCCTGAAAGATGTTTATTTATGTAATATCTTACCATTTAGGCATATTGTTACAGTTAAGAGTAAAAAAAAATAGTGCAAGAAAGTCATGCAAACTGCACTAGTTTATGGAAAAAAACTTGTAAAAAAAAACTTATATGTTGATTTTTTTCTCAATTACCTTAATGTCTGTTTACAATTAAACACTTTCCAGATAATATACAATGTGTTTTTTTCCAGGATCTTGCTCATTTTTTCCTAGCATTTTTTAAGAGCCCCTTCAGTTTTTTGTCTTCAAGACGTAAGGTAAAGAAAAAAACCCTTAGGCCATTCAAAGAAGAGCCGCTACAGTTTTTATATCTGCTAATTTTACTCATTTGTAAAGTGTCATAAAGAATCTTGACAAGACATTTTCTTAATTTGTCGGAAATGATCTTACTGAATATTAACAGAAATTTTATGGTATCCAGTGACATGTGAACATAAAATGCACAAAAAGCCTGAAATTAACGAAACACAAATTCTTGCGGAGAATGATTTATGTAATTTGATGTAAGTAAATTTCGGGAAAAGACAAAATCTTGATGGAAGACAAAATCTGGAGGGTTTACATTTAAAACAAAGCTTTTCTCGACACTGAATCAATATCTTAATTACCCAAATCCCGCTAATTTGATAACTTCAGATAGAATTGTCGTAGAGTTGGCCTACGCCTTGTACTTATACGAGTAATTTATTTTATCTTTCCATAAAGTCGTTACTTTACGAACATGACTAGTATCATTTGTTATGTTGAATTGATTCTTAATTAGGAGGCGACTAGTACAGTCTTGCTGTTTAATTAATTTTTACACTGTTCTTATCAACTTCTAATTACAGAAAGGGGACAACATAAAGAAATACAGAGAAGATGTAAGTATCGAGATTATACATGTTAACTTATTTATCCATGTATTTATAGTATTATGTAGATATGTTAATCCATGACTGCGTCTATAATTTTATTTATAATCATGCTAATGCATTACTTGATAGTTGCCACCAGTCACCACATCTTTTTGACTCGACCCTTGGTGTGCATTTATCATTTAATGGGCGTGAGTTCGTTATAACTTTGATGGCAACGTCTTCTTATATACATGTATAATCATTGAAATGATGACGCTTATTTTACCACAGCCAACTAACAAAGCCAATTTTTTGCCTTGTATAATTCTGTCATTTTGAAATATTGAAATTTAGATGGAATGGAAACATAGTCAGGATTTAGCTCTAATGACATGATGGAACCGGTCATTGCCACCATAAAAGAGCTAGACCAGCTTGCACATCTGTGTGCTATCGTCTGCCCAGGCTTTATATAGCTGGCAGATACATTTTTAGCTCGACTATTCGATAAGAATAAGTAGAGCTATTGCAGTCACCCGAGCGTCGGCGTAACCACTTATGTTAAAGTTTTTGTAATAGTTCAAATATTTTCAAAGTCCATTGACATATGGCTTTCAAACTTTGCACACTTGTTCACCATCATGACCCCAACCTGTAGACAGGATGAGGTAACTCTATCAAGCATTTTGACAGAATTATGCCCCTTTTTCGACATAGAATTTACGTTAAAGTTTTTGTAATAGTTCAAATATTTTCAAAGTCCATTGACATATGGCTTTGAAACTTTGCACACTTGTTCACCATCATGACCCCAACCTGTAGACAGGAGGAGGTAACTCTATCAAGCATTTTGACAGAATTATGCCCCTTTTTCGACTTAGAATTTATGTTAAAGTTTTTGTAATAGTTCAAATATTTTCAAAGTCCATTGACATATGGCTTTGAAACTTTGCACACTTGTTCACCATCATGACCCCAACCTGTAAACAGGAGGAGGTAACTGTATCAAGCATTTTTTTTACTATCAAGCGCTAAGAATAGTCGAGCGTTGCTGTCCTACTGACAGCTCTTGTTTTTGTCGGTACCCATTTATGGTGTCAACGTTAGTTAACTTTTTTGGTTAATTTTAATTATCTTAAAATTTAGACACATACCTATAACAGAGATTTACCTATAACACCCATTTTTGGGTCAGAAAGGTTACTAGAACCAGTAAAATTAGTCATTAAATAGAAGAGCAGCTTAATTTATTAGCAAAGTAGAGCACTCTTTTCCTTGGACAGCTCTTGTATTTTCATATTAAAATCCCTTTAACATTGAACGGACTGTCCCAAACCCAAACCAGGGCATATGCATTGCACAACTTCACCTAGTTACAGATTAATATAATGTTGTTGTATTTTGAGACATATTTTTCGTCAGTGTTGAATCAAATGCATATTGTATAATTACAAAATAAGCTTAGGAATATAAAAGATAACTAAGTTAATTAATTGCATTATTGTATACATCTATCTGTAATGCTTCTAAAATAGCAATCAAGAAATCCTACTTTGTTAGACATGTTTTGAGTTAGCTATATAGGTTCAATGACGTGATGCTGGAATTACCCTAATACGTAGAATACATTATATAGTCACTATGGGAACTAATAGGATTGGGTTTTTTGGGGGGTGGGCGGGGGCTGTTATTTATTTTATTTTTTTTGTCAATATGGATGTTCTACCTTAAGCTATATAGTTATGATATTAACAGTATGTTAATTTAATTATTTTTAAGGATTAAGTTATTACAGTCTAATACCATGTATTCTAAATGAAATGAATTATATAAAAAAGGGAAGGGACGGCTTTTATCATGTTATTGATTTTCATCGTTGTTTAAAGGTCGTATTGTAAATCAATACATTTCTATAGATAGCGGCAGCAGGTAAGGGAAGCTTAACGATGGTGTATTTTATGAAATTCATTAATGAAGATGAATTGAAAAGGTACACTGCCATTTGACTTCATTAACCTGTTGGAGATATCATCTAAGTATATTAAATCTGATGGACGTTTAACGAGAATTTCTGCATGAATTCTTGTATCATTGTTATTTCTTGGCAATAAAAAACAGCTTAACATCAAAGCAGCTCTGTATTTCACTGTGGCGTTTTTCACTTAAAATTAAAACACCAACAAAAAATCATTTGAAAGATTTGATACATGAATGAATTATTTGATATTAAATAATTGTACGCCTGACATGCCTGAATTTGTGAAATGGATTTGTCCTGCTCTGAATTTGGAACAGTCCTTTATTGTTTATAGGAATTTCAATATGAAAATTACGGTATAGACTAGAATCTGGTCAGTTGAGCTGGCTGGTAGGGCTTTCTGCACATGACATAGAGAAATGATGTATTGGGTATTAAAGTCAAAACTTGTATATTCAAAATATTATATACTGTATTAGTTAATTTAAAGACACTGAAATTGGCAAATTTAGCGTATTGATGAAAATCCCTAAAATTTCTATTAGCATATATATCAACCAACCTGTCATTAAGTTCTACCCTCCCACGATTGGCTAATATTTCCTAACACAAAATGTCTGGAATTTTAAATTGGCAAACTTTCGACACACAAAAATATCCACTTATACAGTATATGAAATAAGTACAAGATAAATTGAACAGAAACCGGTTTCTTTCCTTGTAGCCTATTTACTTGAAGTGTATAAATGTCTCTATTAATATACCTCTGCATATGAAAATGTAATTATATTTGCGTTTTTTTTGTTTGTTTACAGAGTGGTGCTAAAATTAACATATCTGATGGTTCATGCCCGGAGCGAATTGTCACTATCACCGGAACAACAGACAACATTCATAAAGCGTTTACGATGATCTGTTGCAAATTCGAAGAGGTATTGTACATGCTCCTATGTGCTTACATTTTGACAATCAGTCACATGACTTTTTACAAACAGTCACATGATATTATAACTTTAAGTTATGGCGGCAGTAACAACTCGCTAATATGTCACTAATGGGGATCTTATCTGGTTATATTTAGATGCTAACTTTTATTGGATGGATTAAAAGAAATGAGGAAATATTAAAATAAATATTTTAGACTGGTTATGTTTTGAGAATAAGCCGACTGTTTATGGAATAGACTTGTTATTTTGGATAATAGAACAGAACAGAACATTTATTTTATTAGATTTGTACCATAAGTACATCATCGTAACATATTTACAATAGACTGGTTATTTTTGGGAACAGACTGGTTATTTTTGTGAATAGACTGGTTATTTTTGGGAACAGACTGGTTATTTTTGTGAATAGACTGGTTATTTTTGTGAATAGACTGTTTCATTTTGGGAACAGAATGGTTAATTTTTTAAATACACAGGTTATTTTTGGGGACAGACACATTATTTTTGGAAATACACTACATAGTTATTTTAGAATTAAACGGTTTTTTGGAAGGATTGTTTTTGGGGTTTTTTAGACTCGACTGATGACTGGTTGTCTTTCCTATGCAGCATTCTTTGTAATGTTAGCACAGATGCTTCCATTTTTTACCCTTTGTTTTATGTCATAGGTTGCAGTTATCATTTTAAGTTTATTTTCAACCTTTTATGATTTAGTTGAACGCATGCATTTTTCTATGATGTATTTATATAATAACTGACATACATGAAGCAACATTGTTAATGAAGAGTTTATGCTTGCTATAATTTTATGTTATGTTCTGAAAATTGTGTTAATATTATAACGTATGGTAATTAAACGTGAATTAAGATCTTGCAACATTAATATGCACTTACGAGAAGGCATATAACATAATCATTCTGTATGTATTTTCTGCGAGAATTAAAGAGAAAACATGCATCAGCACTTAGTTTGCTATGTATCTGCCTGTTACCATGTATTTGACGAGAAGAATCTCAGATAAATCTGTACTGAAGTGCTCACAGAAGAGCCATGTTGTTCTACTGGTATAAATGGTACAAGAAATATACAAGAATAGACCTGTAACAAATTTGAAAAGTAGTGAAATGTCAATATCAATTTTATTGCGATTTAAATCAATTTTTTTATGATGTTATTATTGTTTTATACGATGTTGAACTTTTCCCCTGCATGTTGTGCTGTGTTGTGACCTTTATTAATCTTTCGCCTTTGCAGCAGCCTTCCATCTTTCAGGACCTACAAAACACGCCGACTGTGCCTAAGCCTCCAGTTACGTTACGATTGGTTGTTCCAGCAAGTCAGTGCGGATCACTTATTGGTAAAGGCGGAATTAAAATAAAAGAAATCAGAGAGGTATCCATTTAGTAATATTTTGTTATATTATAAACAATATTAAACAGTTATTCAGGTAAAAGATTTAATAAATCACTAACATTGTCACATGATTTTAAAGAGATGTATTTACAAAAGCAGAATGTCTTTCTAACAGTTTTTCACATTAAGTTCAATTGTATTATTACAAGTGAAAAAGTATTGCTTGAATAATTTTTGTCTTCTGCTTTGTAGAACAATTTGATATATATTTTTGTCATTTTGCCATATAGAAAAAAAATATAAATTGTAGTTCTTTCTTTTAAATTGGGCCTTTGAAATATTTTTCTAGAGTACTGGAGCTTCAATACAGGTAGCGAGTGAAATGTTGCCGAACTCAACAGAACGAGCGGTCACAGTGTCGGGCACAGCCGAGGCGGTGACTGCATGCATCAAAGTGGTCTGCAATATCATGTTAGAGGTATGCTTGTATATATTGAAATCAGATTGGTCTGTGGTTCGAGCATTTTGTAAAGAATGAATTGTGACTCGTAACTTTTTATAAATCTTAGAACTGAATGACTGAAATTAGATTTATTTGAGCCGCGTCACGACAAAACCTACATGATGGGTTTGCGACCAGCATTGATCCAGACCAGTCTGCGCATCCGCGCAGTCTGATCAGGATCCATGCTGTTCTCTACTTGTCATAGAGTTTGTAAGCGAACAGCATGAATCCTGATCAGACTGCGCGGATGCGCAGGCTGGTCTGGATCCATGCTGGTCGCAAACGCACTATGTTGGTTTTGTTGTGACGCGGCTCGTTTGGTGTGCTTTAGATAGAGAAACATTGTTATGGTGTTTTTGGTTTGATCTGCATTAATGATTTGGAAATACAAAGGGAGAAAAGACTTAGTTGAAAATTTCCAATAACATGAATTGTCAAAATAATACTGGTTTGTCAAAACAGCACAAAATTATGTTCAAATTAACAATAAAAATTTCAAGGAAAGAAGACTATAAAGGGAAATAATAAGAGTTGCATGTCATAAATGATATAGTAACTATGCTGTTGATCTGATTGATCAAAGCCATGGAGACATTGTAATTTTCAACCAATCAGTTTTGTTTCGTAAAGTTTTGTCTTTATGGAATATTTTTATTTTAAACAAAAAAAATAATAATAATAAAAAGAAGAGTTTCAGAACATTCTTTGCAACGTTTTTGAATATGATAAATAATGGTAAAGGGTTGTACATTTAGTTTGTTTTGTCTAAATGAACTGAAAAACAAATGTGAAAAAAAGCAGTTTGTTAATATTGATTTAAATTAGTTTTTGAAAAAAAAAGTCATCTAAGATATTGTTTGTATTGTACAAAGTGGTTGAGATTTGGAAAATACTAAGCTGAAAATTTCAAATATAGCTGTGTAAGAAAAATAATTACGGAAATACAAAAGAAATGGATCCAACTTTAGATTACGGTCTGAAATTTGGAAAAAAAAAATAATTCCATTTTGTGTTTGGATATATAATTATGTACAAATAAATATAATATATATATCAAATTGTCATATTGGAAAAGATTTTATATGTATGATATTAGATATATAAATCAGATTGTCATATTGGTGGAGATTTTACGTGGAATGATGCTTCTCATTTTGAAAGTATCCCTGTAGACAATTTACTCTGTAATTACGTGCCGTTAAACAGTAATAAATCCGTAATGGGAAGATGATCATGTGACTTATTCGACTTTAGCTTAGGAACGATGCTTCAAAATTCTTGTAATTATAACAACGGAACATACGTCATTGTTACTATTATTATGTCCTCCTGGATGATGTTACGAATCTGGAGAGGGAATGGGGGTGGCATCGAAGGGAAACATATGTATTATGTATTTAACAAAAGCATTCCCCGATACCTCGCCATATTGGCCTGGTGTATTTAATTGATACACATTCCAGGTAAATACACAATATTTGGTTTTGATTGTATGCAGGTGATGAAAAAGTGGCGATAATTTACTGTGAATTTGCTACTGTATGATGTATAATATTTGTGACAAATCTATCCATGCCCCGATAATTACAAACAGACTATGTGCGAGATTTTTTTTATGAATGCTTGAAAAACATTTTCTTCTACTGTAAAACAAAATAACAGGCAGAAATTTTGAATAGCCTTTTATGTTATATCATATCTGATATCAAATAGATTTTGTCACAAAAATTATTTATATTACGGCAACAATTTAAATCATATACATGTATGTATGAATTATGATGTCTTCATTAAAACTGGTTTTTACGAAAATGAAAAAAATGAATTAACAATGTGTAAGGTTTTTAAGTGTTTTGACTGTTCTGTTGGCATGCTAATACAATTCTAATTTTTCTCTTCTTTTTTTTCTTTTTTTTTTTTTTTTTTTTTTTTTCAAAGGATTTGTAAATACCATAAATCTTTGTTGTTGTTATTGTTTTAAGGATGTAATATGTGCAAAAACTTTATTTGTTGATTAGGATTGGAATGATGACGCATTTGTTGAGTTATTTTTATGCGAGTGATTTTTTTTTCTACTATTATTTCTTTAGATTCTTAAATGAGTGAAAAAAACATCATCTTTATTTTATTTCTTTATTTGCTAACAAAATTGTATTAAACATTTACCAAGTTTGTTTTTAAGAAAGAATAATAACATATGCATGCTTACCCAGTGTTGAAGAATTTCTCTGCTCTCAAATTTTTTTTTTTCTCGTCTGATTGTCCTTGTTTATTGTCACAAGTGTGTGTTTAGAAAAAGATCATAGCCTCTATGTCTGTCAAAACAAAGTTTTGTGTGTAGCGTATTATTAGTTACGTATGGTTTTCATTTACTAAAAAAAAATAAAATCTCCCTAACTGTGTTTTCTGCCTGTGTCACATTGTTTCTGATTTTAGTAAGATTACAGTGTGAACATTAATTATTATTTTTTTTTTTTTCATTTTTTTCATTTTACTTGTAGAAAATGTTTGAAAGAAAAATAACTGAATTTACTGAATGACATAGGATTTTTTAACAATTTGCTATAATAAATTACACTCATACCATTTTCCAAATTATTGTATTTTAGGAGACCTTTCTCGTGTAATTCAAGGTGAGCCACTCTGGATGTTATTGGCTTCAGGACCTTAGACTTATCTCCCTTTGATTAATCCACCCAAACAGTAGCTTCGTCCTGTCACCCTCGAAATCTTGTGTAGCTTTGTAATGAAAGATATATACTGTCATAGTCTCGCAAATTAATATGTCTGTTCTTTTTATAATTGATTTTTAACGCTTTCATCCCATCTGAACAATATTTTTAGAGGGTTTTTATCTTTTATTTCCTCTTGTTATATTTTTCTTCAAATAGACAATGTCCAGATTTTCAAAAAAATGTGGGATGAAAGGGTTAGCATTTCACTGAAAAATACTTTTCACCATCAAGAACCGATTGTAGATTTTTTTCTGACAAAAATGAGCACATCAATAATTAACATTGTCTCTTTTTTTTTAGATAACAGATATTAGGTGTATTTGAAAAAAGTGATACATATGTATATAGATTACAATATATAATAAATATATAAAAACAGGTTGCCATAATCCGAGGAAACACTCAAATCACAAACATAAAACACGTGTTACACGTAGATACTAAAGTCAGCTCGCATGTATCTCACATAGCTTTAGAATGTAGAAAATTCGGTGCATTGTCAACTCGTCACATATTCGCTTTGTTGAATTATTGTTTGTCTGCGTCTGGCTCGACACTGGCAGCAGAATGACTTTGAAAAAAATGTACATGAAGAAGCACAACATCTGCTATTTGTTTTCGCAAGTTATGTTTTTCTTAACAAATATTGCTTACGTTACTGTGATATATATAAGTCTTAAAAAAAATAATTTAACAAGCTTTTACTAAAACCTTACAAAAGCATCAGACATTTAGCACTGTGAATGAAACTTTTATTATAATTTCCGAAAAAACTTTTTTTTGCGATACTAAAACTGTACCCCACCCAGGCTTTTTTTTACATTTTGTCAGTGTTTTAGTTTTTCATATAAGAAGATTTTTTGCTTGTGATAAAATCAATTTTTCCACCTGACATTGTCACATGGTGACCTTGACCTTTGACCCACCTTGGTGATGTTGTTTTCCTCAAGGTTAAAATTTGGTCGTCTCTAACACCTTGTATAACCTTATATTCCAAAGTTCAGAAATGACTTTCTTTCCCTGAAGCGTATTTTTTTGTCCAGTGATTTCTTAACTGTAGCCACTTTATGATTTATCCATTCAATACAGCATGTTATATATAGAACAAACAGTCTTTAATAGATATTTTATTTTAATCTTTATCATGAATGTAAGCTTTTATTTTTGTAATTTTCCCAAATAACGACTTCCGAATGGCAGTCCTAAGTGATGACTTTTTGTTTAGTATAAAACAAAAACCTGTTATTTATTTAGTTTTGGTTTTTACTTTTATTTTTAGTTGTATTGTAACAATCTTTTCTTTAATTTACATTTATAACGTAAATGAATTTATAGGCATATTTTGAAAAAGTAAATTATAAAAAAAAAGAAATCTTGTGTTATGAACTTCGTAACTTTTATTGCTATAGTAATAGAAATTTTGCACCGACAGATGGGCAAAAAAATGATAAGTCAGTCCTTGTGGATAGAAGAATAGATTGTTATAGGGAGTGAGTTTTTTTGCTTTGTTTGATACACTTTGAAATTTTTCCCCCTTTCCCTGTTTTAATCTGCATTAAAATTCAACCAGTTTTTCACCTACACAGAAATAAAAATGCAGTTTGGAATGACAGGGACAATTTTTGAACTCTTCACTGTTTTTCAATTGCAGTTATAAATATACCATTCACTATACATACATTTATATATATATATATCTGGTGTGGTGACCTTGACCTTACCATAACCTTTGACCTTCTTTCCTCCAGTCCCCACCAAAGGGAGCAACCATTCCCTACCGTCCAAAACCAGCTGTACCACCAGTGGTGTACGCAGGAGGGCAGGCGTTTGTGATACAAAGTCCACAGATGCCAGTACATCAGCCGGCTGAGGTATGTATTGGACAGATTTTTTTTTGTGCAAAATTCTATCGTAAAATTATTTATATCTCGGGGGAACACATCTAACACAAAAAAAGGATCACTAAAACCTCAACCTTTTTGGAATAGTATATGCCCTATCCTTTGAATTATTTTTATTCAAATAACCAAATGTTATATGAAAGAAATTCCACTTTTTCCACAGTTTGCCTGAGAAAAAAAATGATTTTACAAAACACAGAGATGTTAGAAATAAATAATACGGAAAATATTAGATATTAGATATAATATTAGAAAGTATTTGAAGGAGTAAAATTATACCAGAAAAAAATTTCTTTCATGCATATTATTGTTATTACTTTTTCTAAATTTTAACAACAGTTTGTTACAATGTACCTGATTGGTTAGTTGTTATCACTGTTGTTTCAATTCTTTTGATTGGTGATTTCTATCAAGGCTTCTGATTGGTTACTTTTTAAAATTGAATATTTCTTTACATCTCTGGCATCTTTTGTTCAACTAATAACCTAGAAATATAGTACTATTTTTAACACAAATTAAAAAATGTATTTGTTTTTGGAAAAGATTTTATATCTTATAATCATCCACAATCATGCAGGTAAATTTTAATTATGAAAATTATATTTATATACAACACATGTATTACAAAAATGAAAAAAAAAACAAAGAAAAAAGAAACACATTTGATTTGAGCGAGAGAAAACAAATCCATATTTAAAGCGGGTTTTGTTTTTTCAATTCATATTACAGTTTGGTCATGCTAAAATGATGGACTCGTTGTATGATAGTCGCCTCATCGCTATGAAACAAGTAAACATTTCATCCTACTCCTTTATTGTATTATATTGTGGAATCATTCACTTGCTACATTGCAGTGTGGGCGTTTTTTTTTTTGGCATTAAGCCAATTTCTGTTATTTTTTATTTCAAATTTGAAGCAAAGTTGAAACATAGTGTTAAGCCAAATTAAATTAATCAGTAAATATTCATTTAAAAGTCACAGTCTTGATTGATCAGAGATTGATGATTTCCATGTGACTAATAATAGTCCGTGTCAAAAAGGTGTGACATATGTTGTTGTTGTTATTTGGGGGTTTGGGGTGAGTGGATATATGGGTGAAAATATTGCTTATTATATAAATTAAACAATTAAGTTGGTTAGTTTGCTTTTATCTAAGTTATAGTAAAGGAAAACAGTATGACTTACAAGAAAATTTAAAGAGAGTTGAGAGAGAAAAAATAATTGTGCTCAAAAACTGCTGTGCAAACATAAATGATTTCACAAAATGGGTAAAAGGAATTGTAAAATTGGTTGCAAATATTTGTACACTTCTTCTTACAGTATCTATGCGACATGTTTTTTTCTTATTTACCTACCATCATTGTAAACTCTTTATAAGCATTATAAAAGTTTGTGTTCCGTGTTATTTTTAGCAGGTCTGGTGTAACTGCCCCCAGGAGCCCTACGGGTATACGGTAAATACGGCCGCCACCCCAAATTATTATTTTTTTGCGTGAAAATATCCAGGTTGAATTTGTTCTCTTCTCACTGTGCAAGCTTCTAATAACTACCAGGATTATTTTTTTTTGACAGAAATGTTGCTATTTTTAGTCTTGAAATTGTCATTAAAAACTCCCCCATGTCGAGATTACCTCGTGTTTATTGTGCTCAGTGTTCCATTCTAACCCAGATGTCTAACTCCTTTCGTTTAACGTTGGGTATTCAAAGGGAGGGTCATTATTCATTAACAATGTGATACGTAAATATATTGCTTGTGATTGGTTGGTTGGGATGGCTAGATACATGTTTGTGTGATTGTCTTTTTCATTTTTATGTTTTCTCCTGTTAGACTCTAAATGTATGTCAGATGACCTGTTAAAAATATAGATAGAATAAGCATATGGGTCTAGCATAACACTGATTTGTAAATATAATGTGACATGAATACATGTTCAAAACCAAATATAGGTTAAAATGAAATAAGACAAAAAAGACTTTAGGCTTCAGAAGAACCATGAAATTATTATGATGAGAGAAATGAGCAAATATTAATGTCTGGTCCATTAAGCTCCCAATTTTAAAAAGATTTAAGTCAAACTAAGTGAACAAGGAAGGGATTTAGAACCACATGCCAAGATTTATGTCAGTCAGTATTTCTGTTTTGCCCAATTTGCTTCTATATAATTACCTTGCGATTAATTTCAGTTTTGACATGTTTCGAAAAGTTGAGTCAATTTTTTTTTGTTTGAATTGGCATAGTATTGTGTATCAGAAAAGAGCTTAATTTACTCATAATGAAAATAGAATTCATAACATGTAATATTTGCTTACATTATTGATTTTTTTTTGTACTGGCATGGCTAAAACAAACATTACACATATGTATGTATTTAAGTTTTCAGTTTTAGTTTTGTTACACCAGACCCTGCTTCTACAACTGGAACCAAACTTTTTACTCCTCGTAGAATTGGTTGCCATGTGGCGCTAGTGTAGAACATAAATCCCGCCCCTACCCAATAAGTGATCTTTTCAATGTTCTTCCTTTTCTCTTTTGAAATCCCCAACTTTCTACAGAATGCTTCACAGCCCCCTTTTTGAACATTGTATTTTGTCAACCTTTTTTCTTACATAAATATCGTGGAAAAGTAAATGTTGTGAAACAGAAGTAATTTTTGCGCAAATGTTGCGAAAGGAAAAAAAAACATACCTGAAAAAAAATTTCTAATATATTTTATTTTTACATGATTATTTCTTTTTCAGTTATACTTTATTTGGAATAGGTTTATCGCATTAATGTGATTTTATCTGTTCTCTTTAATGGAATAATCATTTATCATATTTTAATTTAATTTTAGATACTTTTAACTGACATGGTTTTATGTAAGATGATTTTACAGAACAAAGAACATATATTTCAGTTCTTTTTATATGTTAAGCACCATCTTGAAGATTATGAAATATACTATTTATCCTTCATTTCAGTTGAACAAGTTAAATCAGATGTCATTAGGACAGCCGGTTCCCATGATGCCGCCAACAGCATACTTGCCAGGTACCAGAATTTTTTTTTTTTTAAATTTTAGCGGCAAAAAGATCTTTCTTTTGGTAAATGTAAAAAAAATTAGAAATTAAGAAATAAAGTTTGGATATTTCAACCATGCTGTGCTACATGTGTTATGAAAATGTCAATCTGCAGCTGAGTGGTTAAGGTCATATACTTCGAACCGTCTGCTTCTAGCCATTGTTTGTTCAAATCCTGCAAGGGACTTTTGATTCTTTCTTGTTAAGAAGCTATCCAGCTAGCTTACAGAATGTTGGTGGTTCTACTTGGGTGCCAATTCAAACCTGAGTTAATGGAGGTCTTCTTCGATAAGTAAACCTAGGAAGTTGAGATATGACTTCTACTGTGTTAGTGCAACATAAAACCCAACCGAATTCATAAAAAATGCCAATCAAGTAAATTCCAATATGTATGTGAAAATAATTGGGATTAGATTAGTTATAACGTAAATAATGATTTGTTTTTGTGGGGGGGAGGGGGTTGTTGGTAAACATGTTGTATTTATTCAACAATAATCTATGAAGTCGTAAACATGCAGCTGCTAAATAAATTAATTTTTGGTCAGGTGGCATGGAAATAATATTGCATCCAAGGTGGTATAAACTGTTTTGTTTACAAGTATCACTTAAAAGTCTTGTTGTGCAAACATTTCTCTAATTACTTGATTCCTTTTTAAATTGAAGACGAGAAGCAAATGTTTTGTTGTTAATGCTTTCAGTTTGGTTTCATATTCTTTTTTTTTGGCACAGATGGAATTAAGCTACATATGTTTAAGATGAAGGTGTTTTTTGGATAGGACTAACAAAGAAATATTTTCACTGTGTAAAAGCATCTGTAGATTTTACACTTATGTAAAAAGGATGTGGATACAGTGTGCGGCATAAATTTTTTTCGAGCCTTAAGCTCAAATGTATTTTTGATCGAGTATTAAAGCTTGTGATTTTAGTTGTTTTGTGTTTTGAGGAATTGCATAATATACAGATTCGGATCAAAGCTCTTGGCTGTTATCCTTAATCCATGAATTAGGGAGGAGCTCGGAATCAAACAATACTGAAAACATACAATATTTCTTGAGAACCAAAAATACAAGGGGGAAAAAGAGACACACTTTGATATTTTATTTTGAACTTTTATTTTTAGTATCAGCAGCCCCAGGGTACGCTCCCATCCCATTTCAGCAACGACCTTTACAGAACGGGCCAATTGCAACACCAAATGGTCAACAGACACACGAAATGAATATACCTAACGATCTCATTGGATGTATTATTGGCAGGGGAGGACAGAAAATCAACGAGATTAGGTACGACCCTGCCCTTAACTTTTACTGTACTAATTATTAAGGTCGACACAGTCATGTATTATGGTCGTTGGATAAAAGACAAGGTTACCTGTTAAGGAGTTAATAGGCCTGATGTGCCATTGCAGCGTTAGTTTTCAACTATTTTCCCATTACTAGTTAAAACCATAAATTCTAGAAGCTTCAAGTAGTTAATGGCAATAAACTTTTTGTCCTGTAAAAACAGTTCTTCCTGTTTGCCAAGAAGTGAATTTATGTAAAATTGTACATTATGGCAAGTGTTTATGTAAAATATAAAGAATTAAAGTTTTTTGTTTGGTATGTAATACTGTTCTTTAGTTAATGCAGTAGAAAAAACATGGCTGGAAAAAAAGATCAGAAATGTTATGTGTAATGATAATAATTTTTTTTTCTGCTCCCTATTTACAGACAGATATCAGGTGCTAATATAAAAATTTCCAACGCAGAAGAGGGTTGTCCCGATCGAAAAGTTACAATAACCGGAACTCCGGAAACTATTGGCATGGCTCAGTACTTAATAAACACCAGGTAAGTGTAGCAATAATACAATACGAGACAAAAAAAAGTTAAAATCTATACAAACTGACTAAAATCCTTTTGGTTATGACAAAAAATAACCATTATTCTATTATTATTGTAAGTTTGAATGTTTAATCCGAGATAAAAAATAAAACAAAATCGGAAAAAAATTTCTGAACATAAATATATCTATTTTAAAAAAAAACAACTCAGTTTGTATGGACTATTGTATAAGACAAAGCAAGTTGTATAGTCTTGTTTTGTCTTACGTTTTATATATATTTTAGTTTTATTGATAAAATGGTGTTTCAAGATTTTAAAATGGACCTCCCCTTATTCTCAGTATTTTGGAGAAAATGTACATATTTGAGATAGCAAAAAACTGTTGTCATCAAAGCTGTGAAATTTTCGGGCCATTTAAATTTTGACACATCATTAATTTATTATAAGATAGTACAATTATTATTTTTGCCAAGAGTAACCTCTCTTTGTGAATTTTAAGCAAGGGAGTTAACTCTGTCAGACGTGTCAGGAATTTGTCTCTCCGGCCTTATGTTTCTTATAAGCAGGGGAGTTAACTCAAGCAGAAGTGTTGGGAGCCAGCTCTCGCAGGGGAAGCAACTGCCTTTTGTGCTTTTGTAAAGTTGTTTGAATAAATAATAACATCTCCTTCCACAGGATTTTTTTTCTCTCAGTTACTTTTCAGATACTAAATTTCAATTTGTTATACATAAAAAAACTTACTCTTTACAAATCATTTAGACTGAAAAGTTTTGGGAAATGTGGGTGGGGGGGTGTCTTTTTTATGTGGGGAGCGTCTATTAGTTTTTTTAAATTGATGAAAAACTGTGGAAGGAACTAATTTGGCAATTAGTTTCTAGATCCTTGCTTCGTTTTCCTTTATCAAACAATAACCAGCAAAACTATATTGGTCTAGAATTATCGCAGTGTGTGTATTATAGTCCAACTTTAAAGTCAACATGCAGATTATTGCCGATATTTGGAGGGATGAAAGCTAGTTTAATTTATTTATAGGTTTAGGGCAGACAAGGGTATTTTTGTGGGTTTTTTGGGGGGGAAGGGGGGGAGGGGTGCATCAAGTAAATTGAAGTAAACCAACTATATTTGTGAATATAAATAGAACTACTTTGTGAGGAATTGTGAAAATGTAATTTTTGTTGTATTTTTTATCATTAAGGTGCTTTAAAATTTTATTGAACTGAAATTTAAACATTGAAATCCGAAAATTTTAGATTCAATGGTGTTGGGGGGTGGGAGAAGAAAATTTAAAGTGTGACATTTTTTGATTTTTCGGCATAAATAAAAGTTAAGTTGGGGAATAAGCTAATATTTTTTATGAGCCAAAAATTAAAATGTTTGTTGGTATATTTTCTGCATGTTGACTTTTAACTCAGTATTGATAATAATCTGGTTGTATTTCTAAAGTATGCATGACAAAAAATTTTACATTGTATTTGTCAGATTTTATGACACTCACTGCATTAATGGCTTATATCTTATTTTTTGTGGTACTTTAGTAATAAATTTAGTTTGTTTGCACTAAATCTGGCAAAATTCAGGTTTACTTTCGAACTGTTTCTTTTTTCGACCATCTTGGTTACTTTGCTTTTAAGTTATGTATCGGACTGCATTGGAAATGTATGGCTGAAAAGAGTTTCGAGTTTTAATATAAAACTTTGAATGCCAGGGATGATTATGACTTGTCTATGCCACCGGTATAAAGTCTGGTAAAGCCTACACATATGTGTTTTCTGTTAGTTGCTCAATTTAAAGATTTTGATGTTGGGACACCTTAAAATGACAATGGAACATTCTAAATTCATAACAGGTCAAGTCAAATATACAAAAATTGGGGGTGTTTTAATAATAGTGGGTTCAGTACAACAATGTTTTTAACTTTTATATTGCAGTATTACATTGAAGCGCGACTGGGGAAATTCCTTTTTAAACTTAACCACTTCTTTGTCTAGTTTTACTTCGAAAGAAGCAGATTTTAAATGGGCGGTAAATTTATTATGATATTACAAACGCTTTAAGGTCATCCAGATGTATCTTTCCTGTAATTAATTTACTTTGGGTTATTTCATATGTTTCATGATTATCTAAGAAACTGAAATGAAGGGAAAATGGTAAATTTATATTAAATAATATAAATGGAGGATGGTTATATCAGCAACTTTAAGTTGTGTTTTTATTGCCTTTACAGTATATGTGCCACTTATGTCCTTACTAATTCTTGACTGAAAATTGAAAATTGGAGCATACAGGTTGTAGTTTTATTCTTATTGATACGTTCTTTTTTTCCACACGAGTATACTTAACTGGAACAAGACATGTACATTCCTATGTGTTTAAGTAGTGACAACCCTCAATCCCAACAGATTAACTAATGGTTAAGTTGAGTATACTCATGTGTTCCCATGGCAGCCACAAAGAAAGATGTTTGCATTTTCCCGCCTAAAATTTGAATTTACGTCTGCTTCTGTAAAAAAAAAAATTTCTTTTACTTTTTCTTTGGCAATATTTTAGATTTTCTCTCCAAAACTTTAATTTGTTTACAAGTATTTTGAGTAATATGGGTGGGGTAATGCATAAAAAGGCAAGCATCTTTTGACATTGGTTAGCCAGATGTCCAAATGTTGGTGTTTAGTGATTGACAAAGGCATGCATTCAGAATATATTCCTGTTCACAAAAAAAAACAGACACAGTAAAACAATCAAACTATAATGGTAAAAGATGAAAATATTAGAAAAATAGATCATCCTTTAATATCGCATCAAGTTTATCTCATATAGTAATTTTTGCTTTTGGAAAAAGCATGCCTACAAATTTGATATTTTTCATTAAGAAAAAAAAACCACTTTAGAATATGAAATTTCAATTTCTGTCAGATTTTACAAGAGAAAATACACCTGCTTTCTCATTATTATCAGCTTGTATATGAATTAAAACTAGTTGATTTTGCTATCCTTATAGGTTATGAAAATTGTATATTTTATGTAAAGGAGTTCAAATATGTAGGCATCGCGACTCGAAAATTCATTTTTCTAAGAGAATCAATTTTATAAATTTTTTATCATTTCATTGTTAAATGATATGCCAGGAAGACTCTTAAGGCGTCATATTAAATAAGATTGAAATTATAGGTAAAAAGATAATTTTTAGAAAATATCAACGGTGGATTCCTCAGTTGTGAAAGCTTATCAGCGGTCCTTATTTTCCTTAGTCTCCCGGCCATTTAAAAAGTTTGCTTGTGTTCTGTGTATCGTATATTTATATATATTTGTATAATAAAAAAAGATATTTTTCACAGCAAGGTTTAGTTGATAATTCAGATTCCGTAATCAGCACTGTCGTATGAATAGACCAACACAATCCAAATCGATGTCTTTAGTTGTTACTTCCTAAACACCTTCATTTACCTACCCCAAGATATAAAAAATCCCACAAACGAATAAAAGCAAACAAATTATGAACAAAATTACATATTTATAAAAAAAATATAATATTTTTAACTTTACTTTCCATTTGGAAAGTAGAATCTGCAAGTCAATTTAATGGAATTCGATCCTTTCTAAACACTTAATTGATGTTTGCTTTAACTGTTTGGGGATTTTTTCTTGGAGTGGTGTATTTTATGGAATTACAAATGTAATGCTATTCAATCTCTTATAGTGATTGAGTTCACAGCCTTGCAGTTGTATTTCCTAGTCCTGTTTTTTATTTGCCTGCACGAGGTTTGTGGTTACTGTTTATCCATCTGTCTAATACTTTTCCCATCCCGTTTTTTTTTCTACAGCATGGAATTACATAAGACTCTTGTCCTAGATCCTAACTCCGCTGCTACGTCCCCTACGAGTACTGTGAGCCCCACGTCTGTGAGTCCAGTGACTTCTATGGCACCACCAACAGTATCCCATCAAGCAACTCCAATGCCGATGTCGTTAACCATTCCAGCGATGAAGCCACTTCAGCTTATGGGGATGAATGGACTCAGTGCAATGCCGGCAAATTTGTCTTCTTTTAACGGCATTAATGGCTTGAATAGCATAAATGGGTTGAATTTTCAATTTATGGACCCTTTATTGATGGCTGGGGGAGTCCCCCAGCCGGGACCACAACCAGCTTCTAATTTTACCGGAAAAGTGCGTCTGGGCATGGCAGCAGTGAAAACCGGCTCGCCAAAATTTGCACCCTACTAACATTGACTTTTATATGTGCTGGTTATGTTAAATAGAAATAGATTTATATTTATATATTTGGTTGCTTAAATTCTGTATAAAAACATATTTTGTGTACCCGCATATTCAGAAATTTGTTATACATTAGTCATCGATCTTTTTATTATTATTTTTTTTCACGACACCCCTGAATGTTCTTTTAGTTTCGCTTTCAGTTGTATAGAGCACCCAATAAGTGTTCATTTTGTGATTAATCGTTATGTTTTTTTGTTGAAAAATCAAGGCGATGTTTTCATTCACCTTTTTACCTTTAGGTGTCTTGATCGTAAGAAAACATTACAGTGTAATGATGATTTATACTGGAATAAAAATGGCAGCAGATTTGGTTGATGAAAAATTCTGTTTTTTTGTAGATTTTATAAAGATAATTAGTGAATCTGTTAATGATGCAGTCAATCATTGACAAGTTCTTGTGTTTCATATCCTGCACTCATGAAGTTGTCAGAGCATCTTAAAATTTGATTGGTTAAAATTTCAATTTCACAAAAATATTTGATAAAGAGCTTGAATTTGATTGGTTGAAATTCAAATGCTCCTACATTATCGTCTACTGAATCTTGAAAATGATCATATTTTATTGAAATCTTGCAACTGATTGATAGAAGTTAGATTATTTGATTATTGTTTACTAATCTTGAATTTAATTGGTTAACATATAAAATAATCATATTTTTATTTTAAATCTTGCAATTGATTGATAGAAATTAAATTGTTATTAAAAGATGATTTACTTCAGATCTTGAATTTGATTGGTTTTAAATTGTGTTATCTTTTTTTTTTCATTTTATGTACATAGCTACATAGGCCTTGGTGCAATGATCACCCCACTTTGTTCATACATTGGATTATTTCTGTATGTGGGTACACAAAATGTGTGTCTTATATTCTATAATGATTAAATGTGCTGTGTACATAATTCTAATTAGTTTGTAAAAATTGTGATAAGCACATGTTCTCCAAGAAAACATTAACAATACTTTGTAAAGATAGTTATATGAAATTGAAAATGACACTTGATACAGTGTTTAGCGGTGTTTCTTTTTTTTTTAATAATTTGATAAATCTATAAGGAAAAATATGCACTTTCACGAGCAAACAGTGCTTTTTATCCTTGTTCTTTTCCCCCCTACTGACTTGGTTATTAAAAACGTTATTAATAATGATGACAAATTCCAAAAAAGTGATAAAAATAATTTTAGAGTATCAAAATTTTTAAATCTTTGACATAAAAAGAGAGCATGTGCCGAAGACAATATTTACAAACTTAAATACAACTGGTGGCCTTTGTCAGGGGGATATGTTACCTCCAATATTGTTTGTAATAATTGTACAATTTCTTGCTAGCATCAAGATCATGTGATACACATATCCAGTTTATATTTAAATAAGAGGTTTATATGAGCCGTGTCACGACAAAACCAACATAGTGGGTTTGCGATCAGTTTCTGTACTTGTAATAGGGTTGGTAAGCGAACAGCATGGATCCTGATCAGACTGCAAGGATGCGCAGGCTGGTCTGGATCCATGCTGGTCGCAAACCCATTATGTTGGTTTTGACATGACGCGGCTCATTTATGTAACAATTTACCCATGATTCTTGTTGTGTCATTTTTCTTTTCATTTTTTTTCTTGTTTGTTTTTTCAAAAACCATTTTTAAATTTTTCAATTGGCTCATTTTTATTAGAAATGTCTTTAATATTTATGTACAGTATATAGATTTTAGTGTATAACTTTATGCCTTGTTGGTTTTTTTCCCATCTGAATTTAATTAAACTATGCTGTTAATAGTTATTTAACATACATTTTTTGTCTAAATAAAAATATTAAAATGTTAAATATTTTTTTTTATTTTTTTTTTTCTGAAATAAGAATATGGACTTGATTTTAAATGAAGGTGATTTTTTTCATGTTGCTTGCTATTAAAGTCTAAATTTGCATTTGAATTTTTAATATTTTGTTCATTATTGTTGAATTTTTAATCCCACCAGTTTTGGGGCTGTATGTTTACAATGGCAGTTTATTATCTTTCTTTTTTTTCTCCATTTTTACATTTCATGTAATTTCACAGTCTGGCATAGAAGACCATTATCATGAACTAAAGGGAGGTAATTTGGAAGAGGTTAAAGGGGAGAAAAATAAGATTTGATAAATGTTGAATTTAATGAAGTCACATGTATGCCATCTTCAACTTATTTTGATGATTTATTTGAAAAGAAAGGAAATTTCAAGCAGAAGTATTAAGAGTTCTATATCAGTCATTTAAACAGTAAAAATTACTGTATTTTCTCAAAATGTCAGGTACAATATTTTTAATAAATGCATTTTTAACTTTACTAAAGGGATATAAATATCAGATTGGTTTGTATTTAATAGTTATAATTTTGTCTTTGTGACTTGTGAAAATATTAACGCTTAAAATTTCATTGAAAAATGTGGAATAAAAATTTCTTCTTTTTTTTTTTCGAAATTCTTTTCTTTTCTTTTGAAATAAGTTGGCAAAACTTCATTGGGTGAAAATTTGGTGTCAGTTTATGTGTATATTGATCTCTAAAATGTTTTTATTGTCTTTTTATCAACGTGATGATCACTTGACCTCATTCTTAGAAAGAAATTAATTGCAATGACATAATTTTATCGAGGAATCATTTGATGTTAGTAAGAGCCATTTTAATTCATGTATAGTACTTATCCAGGTCCTGTACTAACTATTTACATTGTTCTATTGAATGGTATTCAACGGAATATTCATGTAAATTGACAATCTGTGGAAGTTGGTTGAATGAATTTGTTTTAGGACACAAAGAAAAAAAGATATACCATAATAGAATCAGCTGTCTCATTTTATCAAGATATACACAAATGCATAATAATGTACCCAAAGACAGAGATAATTACCGAAATCCATAATTAAATGTACCATAATTGACAATAAAATACAGTATTTTTTTATTTAATATGAATTTCATTATCTTGTTTATGTATTTAAAAGAAATAGGTTTCATAAATTGTTTCATAAATTATTTCATAAAATCTGGATATTTAATAAATGTTGGTGTAAGTCACAAAGTTTTATTTCTAACCAGAAAAGGTTCATGTTTAAAAGGTCAAGGCTGAAAACTTGCATTCATTTTCCTATGAATTTGACCAAAGAAACAACATTTGCTCACAGTAGTATTAAAGACTATGGAAAATTTTAGATAAACAAAAAAGTTCATGAAATTTTTTAACTCTGTTTGACACAAATATGGTAATGTAAGAAATAATTTGTAAGTAATAAAATGTAAAGTTATATTATAAGATATTTTACTTTACAAATCTTCCTACATTTTTAAGACAGACTAATCCCCAATTGTCTTATCAACATTCCTATGTATTTTTATAACATACCATATTTATTCTGCAAAATGATCCGAAACTCGAGGACTGTATTTTATTCGTATGAAAATGATTGGGAACACAATAATGTTTTTTACGGTAACAATATGCAGGGAGCTGTACTGTTTACATATACCCTTCATCATAATGACATTCCACTTAATGTCTCCATACTAATTTATAATCCCTTAATCCCCTTACCTTATTTAAAATCCTTAAAGCAACTTATTCAGTTTTATTTATATGTTGGTCAGTCTCCTGCTAATTTAATTATGATATATTTTTACTTGTAAATATGATAGGCACTCCTCGCCCAAAAAAAACCCCTTACGTTCTTAGAAATTTTATTGTGATTTTTACCATAGGTGGAGCAGAATTTTGGTTTTTATTTTCATGGTTATCATTTGTGGAAGGGAAATGAAATGTTACAAACTAGTCATTAAGTTTCCATTATACTAAAGTGATTCTATTTGTCTAGTCAAGCTTAATTGTCAGGAAACCTGTCCCACAAAAAAAGAAACTTCTTAAAAGTCAGAATTTAAAATTCTATTTTTGATGTATTGGAAAAGTTAAGCAATCATTTTAACGAAGTTGAAAATAATGAGTCGGAATTAAATTGCTGATGCTTTTGTTAGTTTCCGGCTTTCGAAATCATCTATTTACCATTATAAACCTTAAAGAATTTTAAGCTTATATTGATTAATCTAATATTGATTTATGTTTTATTATTGCAATATTTTAAACTGTTGCAATACTTTCATTTTAGTTGTTAGTGTTCATAAGTATTGTTAATTGAGTTCATTGAAGATCATTGAGTACAACAACAGTTCTTTGAGTTCATTATTTTTGTTTAGGTTTATTAATTATCCTTTTTTGTCATTGTTATTGAGCAATCACCAAATAATGTTCCTTTTTTTAGAAGAATTAGTATTACTTAATTTTGCTTTAATTATTATTATTATTTTTGTTTTTAGCTTTAATATTTTTCATGTTTGTTATTTAAAATGATTTTTTGTTATCACAAATGATCATTTGAGCTACATTGTTGAAATAATGTCCCTATTTCTAAGTCAGGTTATTATATTTGTGTACAAGAATTGTTCTTGAAATCTTTATTATTATAATTATTATTATTATTATAACTATTATGATTTATTTTAGAAATCCAGTTATGTGTGTAGTAGTTCTGTAAAAATAAAAGAAAATGCATGTTGATTATTGAAATATATATTGCATTCCTTATTACTTTTTTTGCATGGTTTAAGCATGTTCATAATGTCCAGTATAAATCTAAACTACAGTTGTTTATCCTTGTTTATAAAGCAATAATTGCAATGGAATGACTCATCAAGAAGTTGTGGTGATTTTTTTTGTGGTGAATTGGAAAAAATATGGGTTTGGGAAGTGACCAGTTAGGATAGGATGATTTAAGGGTTAGAAGAAGTGCCCAGTTTTAAAGGCATGCTTTGTGGGTTAGGAAAGTTGGGGGGAAGTGACCAGTTTTGAAGGTATTGATTTGTGGGTTAGGGAAATGACCAGTTTCAAGTTGGTAGCATTGGGGAAGTGACCAGTTATGAAAGGTGTGATTTGTGGGTTGGGGAAGTGACAATTTATAAGTGGGTATGTTTAGGGAAGTGATCAGTTATGAAAGGTGTGATTTGTGGGTAGGGGAAGTGACAACTTATAAGTCAGTTAAGTTTGGGAAGTGACCAGTCATGGATAGCGTGATCTGTGGTTTAGGGAAATTACCAGTTTTAATAGGGTCGTGTGTGGAAAGAGACCAGTAAGGAAAGGTATGATTTGAGGGTTAGGGAAGTGACCAGAGTTAAATGGGTAGGGTTGGTGGAAGTTACCAGTTTAAAAGGGGTGATTTGTGTGTTGGGGAAGTGACCAGGTATAAATGAGTAGGTAGAAAGTGACCAGTTATGAGAGATAGGGTCGGCAAAATGGCCAGTAATGAAAGGCTGATTACCAATAATGGTATATGAATATGGAGGTTGTATAGTTGTTTGAAAAAGAAAGGGGTGCAAGTTATTGTTTAATTCATTTATAATATAAATTCATGCAAGATATCTGAATGGAGTTATAATTTATGGAACAATGGGCAGTTAAAAGGTTGCTAAGGGGTTACAGTGTTTTGACTGTCAACCAAGTGATATAGGGGTTTGATCCCTACCATAGTAATGACCATAGTTATACTATATCAATATTATGTCACTGTGATTGTACGAGGGTGATTGGAACACAGTAACGGCCATTAACTTCCATCATGCAGTTAACACATATTTACTTACTTTTTTCACCAATTTGCAAAGAACTTCTGCAAAAAAAATCACCATTTTATTTCAAATATTGCTTTATAGACAATGTGCACAAGTACAAATACTCTATGTGAATATCTGCCAGTACAACATATCTTTAGGGTTTATCTCTGCACAGTTGTGACTAACCCTCATCGATCAACTTACGCCCATTGGTCATTTCTAGTTACAACTGTACCGAGTTAAACCATCAAAACATGTTTTTGTATAGGAGAATACCTCTGTTTTATTCGAAAAATAAAAAAAAAAAGATAGAAAAAAAAATATATAAACTTTTTTAAAAAAGAAGAAAAAAAAGATGTGGAATAATATAACATATCATTGCATTACGAATTATAAATGTCAGTACATCTTGTTATCTCTTACATTTATCTTGTTGTACCAATATCATGTTGCACCAAGAGATTACATTACTTTGATAAATCAACACAAAGTGTGGAAGTGTGGGAAGTTCTCACTTCATTACTGAAGATGTATGGAAGGACTTACTTCCCTGTTAAGTAGGCATTATGCCTTTTATTCTCTGAAGTAAAAAAAAAGAGGAAAGAAAACAAAATCATTTGTTAACACATGTTTCTGCACTCTACTACAGCATTTAAAGAGATTTCATTGGAGAAAAAAAGCATCGAATAGTTTCTTTCATCAATTATGTGGTGCATTTCTCAGAGAAAATAGTTTTACAAAGACTTTCCTATGTAAGCTTGAATTTATTTTTAAATACAAAATGCAGAATTTTGAGGCCAACAACCCTTAATTACCCTTCCGTGCCCTGCCCCCACCCACCCACTGTCTTACCAACACAACTTAAAAATACTGAAGAGTTTGAAAAATAGGAAATTCATACTTAGGGTAACTTTCCAAATGATTTCTTGTCAAAGAGTTTTCTGTTTACACACTGAGAAGGAAATGTATTTTGAAAAGCCTTTTATATGAATTTTGAAAAAAAAAGATGTTTTCAATAAAACAGAGGTATTGATATTTTTAGTTGAATAATTGTGGAAGTTAAATGTTCTTGTATCTGTATTTCATTTAAATGTTTGAAATGTGTATTTTTAAATGAGCTAATTTGTATTATGTGAAATGTTGTTTTCTGATTCTAGGGTGACAACAGAAGTTTGCGGTATGGGGATACGCTAACATGCACTACGAACATCCAAATATCATATTAGACATTTTACATATGGGAGATAGGGAATTAAAAGCTGTTGGGTCTCAAAAAATTGACCAGAGTTGTGTGATATAGTGTTACATCAGCTACCTACACAATCATTTGATTGGCTATCATTTATTGTAAGCACAATCGTCATTGGCTCGTAGCTGACCAATCACATTTGTTGTCTCATGAGTGCTTGATCATGTGACCAACTTCTATTTTTATCAGTTTTGAAGTGTTACATTTTTAACTTATAGGGGAGCTTCCATTTTATGCTGTAATTTTATTGATTTTCATGGCATATTTGTTGTGTAACTTTTAACATGAAGTTTTGCGCACTGGTGTAGTAATATTTTGTATTTATGAATGGTAAGTTTAAGTTCACACATATGAATTTGTCTTGAAAATTAATAGGCTCACAGTGATTGCCTTCTCATAACATGTTTGCCTATTTGTTCTTTTGTGTTGAAAACCCTGCTCTAAATCATGTGCTTATCAAGGTCGTCAGGTACATAAATTTTTGAAAATTAATATTCCCATATATTCACCTTATTGTGATATATATGTAACACTTGTTTTCATTGGTTGATGATAAACTCATATGAAACACTTGTTTTCATTCGTTGATGATAAACTCATATGTAACAATTGTTTTCATTGGCTGATGACAAAAACTCACTTAGTCTTTAAACTAGATTAGTATTTTTACCTGGTATTGTTAATGACAATATAAATGAAAAATTTTCATGTAAATTTCTTTACAGAAATGCTATATGGAAATACAAAAAATTTAGACTTGTGTAACCTTGAAATTAGGCAAAATATATATTAACCTGCTTCTATATTATATAAACATTATATATAAATGATTACCCAGTGCTGACAGAATTAACAAAGGTTTAATATTTGGTGACTTGGTAACAGCATTAGAAAAGTGCAGGGCTTAAACACAAAATATCTGAAGCTGGGCTTACAAAGTCATTGTATCTTTACATATGAACTCATTTTCCTTTTGGCAACGATCCAAATTCTGTAAACTCAGAATATTGATCTATAGATATGTATGTTGCCAAAAAAAAGCCTATGACTTAAACCAAAAAAAATGTTATTATCAAAGATATGAACTGTATTTAGACAAAAGAAAAAGTTACATTGCCTTTGTACTTGCAAGCATGAAAAAAATGAAGGAGCAAAAATCGTCTGGATTTTAATAAAAATGAAATATGTGTAAAAATATATTGACTTTGTCAAACCAAGCTGCAGAACTTGGGACTGTTTTATATTTTTTTCCCCTACCTGTCTGTATAAAGTACCCTTTATTTAATTGTTAAATTTGTAAAAGGTGCTGAAAATTGTTTGTTTTAATGCCAAAATTAAATTATACATAAATAAGCATAAAACTTGTTAATCTCAAGTGTTTATAAATTTATGAATACAGTAATATACATGTATATATTTGACTAGGCCTATTTATATACGTTTTTCTAGACCTGTTAACTTATTGAGTATATAAAATGTAGTCTGTATCGCAAAAATTTCTTCATAAGTATGTATAAGTTCCTGAAGTGGAATATAGTTTTTGAACGTATAATACTTCACATTAGTATATTATGCAATAAGAAAACTGAACACTACACTTACATTCATAAATGTTATTCCAACAAATTTTTGAAGTCTATTTAATAAAATTTTACCTCACAGTTTTAACTAGTCACAGTCAAAGCTATAAAAAATTGTTTTTTGATACCAAACATTGTTTATAAGGAGACATTTTAACCATTTTGTTCGTAAATAAGTCGTCTGTCTTGTATTATAGTATTAGTTTTTACTCTCTATTCAGCGTGTTTCTTGTTTCTAAATCACATTGTAAAAAGTGCAATCTTTATAAAAGGGTATTATTTTGAAGCGTTCACTTTTTTATAGTCATATTGAAAGAAAAATACATGAAATGTTCTTTTTTTTATTATGTACATGTATTTTTGGTCTCATGGTATCTATGTGAAGTGTTGAGTATACATAATTTTGCATGTTTTTTTAGAAAGTAGCTGTCATTCATTGTTAATATTTGTAAATTGAATACTGTAAATGTTGCTATTTTTGCAGTCACATTATTTAAAGAACAGGAAACAAAATTCCTGACACTATAAAGAACAGGAAACAAAATTTCGGACATTCTATTTTATAGAAATATATCATCTTTAAAAAAATCTGTAGTAATTCCAGAAAGTCAACTTCAGCATTGTTTACCTGATACTTAACATTCAAACTAACATCGCAAAAGATACAATTAAAACCATAGTAAAAACGTTGAGTTACTCAAAAATATCAATATTTATAGAAATGTCACTCTTGAAGATAAAATAAACAATGAACATTTAAAGGTGCAAGTCTATAAAAAGGTTGTGATTTTTGTAGAAAATTGTAGATAGTGTGAAATACAAGTAGCACATAGATTGTTTTTATTAAATGTCTCATTCTATTTTTAGAAGTCATGTGATTTGATGTTTAAAGGTCATTTGGTCACATGATCAAGCACGTTCTGTTTTTTTTAAAGATGTAACATGCAGAATTTTGTTAATATGGTTTTATCATAAGTGGTTCAAAAGTTCAAAATTACTGATTACATAATTTGTAAAGTTTTTGAAATGGCATTATTATATAAAAATGAACTAGTGCAGGAAAATAAATGTTGATTTTTTTTTTTTATGAAGCTTTTTGTAAAGATTGTTCAGTAGTTTGTTAAACAAACTCATTACTGTCTCTAGTTTTAAATTTTAACATTTTGTTATTTCAAATCCCTTTAACAAATAATGGACAGGTCTAAATTCAAATCGGGTAATTTCCATTTCACAAAATACAGGAGAGGGTTTTTGTGTTAAAAAATGAGAAAATCATGGTGACCAAGATTTGCATGTTTTACATTAATACGTAGTTGTCTATATGTTACAGTAAATAATTTATATAAAGATGTTAAGGAGAGTTATTTTGAACAGTTTTTCACAGGTATTTTAATTAGGTCACGATTTATCGTGACTTAAGAATCATCGTGTATAAATGTGTTGCCAAAATTATAAAGATTAAATAAAATTTACAGAACTACAAAATGAAGTTGGAGTTATCAATTGTTTCCATATTGTTTTTGTTGGTTTGTCTTTATTTTAAATTTTTGGTTTGGTTTTAAGTCAAACCATCATTATTTATGTCATATGGCGATTTTCCAACTTTACTGGTTGAAGAAAACCTCAAGTGCCCCTCTCTACAATATTTCTGGCATGAGGAGTATCTTGAATAGAACCAAATATGTTCTATACCCTAGCTGAATAAGCTTTACACATGAAATAATTCAAAGTCCCAAGCCAGATTTGAACCAACTGTGGTGAGGGACAAGTGGTTTGAAGTCAACGACTATAACCATCCGGTCATGGACGCCTTATATTTCCATGTACTTAATTTTAGTGTAATACTGGTATTACACAGATAGCAATTTGTGAAGCACGAGAACACACCTGCTGTGATTACTATATCTATATCCTCTGAAAACACTTGTCAGGGTGTCCATTCCTGGTCCAGTGGAGCTATGTGTTTATCTGTTTGTGAGCTTATGGTTTCAAGTTTTATCTGATGCATTTGCATCATTATTTTATGAATTTGAAAATGTTTTTTAAGATGACCCTTCAGGTATGGTGATTGATGGATAAATTTAATTCTTGAATGGAGCTTAATAATGTGCTGATTTGAAGTGCTACTTTCCTTGAAATGGAGGGTTTTTTATGCAATACCTGAAAGAGCAGGTTGCAGATATATTACCTGAAATGAAAGGCTGTAGGTATATTACCTGATAATTTCAGATCATAGATATTTTACCTAAAATTGCATGTCATAATAGATATATTACCTAAAATGGCATGTCATAGATATATTACTAGAAATGGCAGGTCATTATATATTATCTGAAATGGCAGGATGTAGGTATATGATCTGAATGGCAGGTTGTAGGTATAGTACCTAAAATGGCAGGTTGTAGGTATATTTCCTGAAAAGGCAGTTTGTACGTATATTTCCTGAAAAGGCAGTTTGTAGGTATATTTCCTGAAATGGCAGTTTGTAGGTA